AATGTTTTATTCGAGTTGGCAGGTATTGTCCACAGTGGTCTACACAACAGTGGGGCAGCCGGCAAACTGGCATACCCCCAACATCAACATAAGTTGTGCCCTCCCAGACGGGAAAAGTAGCACGCTGGGTTGACCTCAATCGTGCTACGGACACATTTCAACACAAATTGTCTTTTAATTATATTATTTTGCTTTAGATTTACATTATATAAGATATAATTTTGAAAGTCAACATCACATATATCAACATCAACCATCACATATATCAACATCAACCACAAAATGTCAACAAAATCAACAGTTCAATGGTTAAATTGAAGGTGACGATTTCGCCACATGGGCACCGTAGGTGCCCACCGCCACCTGGTGGGGGTAGGCAACTTCAATTTAACCACCCACCATGGACTCCTAGCCTACTCAAAACCCACTGCAACCCATCCATCGTGAACATCACTCTCTCTCATTTCCAACCCACCGTAAATTTATGCTACATTAAAATAAATCTGGTTACCCTTCAAATTAATCGTGCCTTACCCCCCCCCCCCCCCCTTTTCCCTTGATTTTATATCTTACGAAGTTGTATTGCTTTGGGTCTCTATTTCTATTACTAATATCCAGCTATTTTACTCAGTCAGAAAGAAAGAACTAACTGGACTTATGTAAGAAAATAAAGTAGAAAATATTACTTATCTAGATTTACCCCCCCCCCCCCCTTTTTAATTATTGGTTTATTCATTTGAATTTTATTTCTTATTCATTTTTAGGTCATTTGAAAGAAAATTTGTAATATACTTTCCTGCAAAGATTACAAACAAGATGAATGAGCACCTATACTCTCTACCCCCCCCCCCACACACACACACACACATACAGCATGATTATGTTGTTCCTGTATTGTAGACAATCATTGTAAGTGTTCACATTCCCACTCTGTCAAGTGCAGAATATGTTTTGTGATATTTTGTAAAGTTTCTTGCCATTTCTGAAGAAATGAGGTTATCTAAGTACCACTTATTTTTTAAACCAAGCTCTTCCGAAGACCATGTAAAATTGATTAAATCCTGTATATACTATTTCAATAGGGTACTTTGTATTTACCCCTAAGCATTTGTAAATGTAGATGGACTGCACCAGACATGTAAGGCACATATGACTAAAACCTTTATTCTAATCCCTTTCCAGCTGATACTCTATCAAAAAGGCATGATCTTACTACACCTTAAGCTTCCTACTTTGGGAATTTTGGGGAGGGACCCCCCCTTTCCTCCTGCAAAAATATATGCTATGGAAGGGGTTATTAAAAATATAGACTTCAAAATTCTTTTTAAGGCTGTAAAAAATGGATTTATAATAGAAAGCATGGAAATTAATATGCTACATGTAAGTCAGTGTAAACCTATCCTTTCCTAATACCCTAAAATGCTGTTGAAGTTTATCTAATCTTAGCACTATGAAACGTTAACTACTACTCACTTGTGGATTTGTATTTGTATCCCCTAGCTAACCTGTATTTTACTCCAGCATGCTAGAGGTATACGACGAGATACTTTTGACTTGGCTCCGAGGTACATAAGGAGCGTAGGGACGTTAACCGAGGCTCTTATACATGTAGGAGTAACCTGTATTTGTACCCATTAGCTAATACATAGATGTAAACTACATGTACATATGCAATTATGCACCGATTAATGCATCTTAATCCCATATGAGATTAATGTGTAAACAGAAAATAATTCAGGTAACTGCTCACCTGAGGGATAAACACATACCATATTACATGCGTATGGCAACTGGGTTTGAACCGATATTTTCAATGAGGAAATGCCCCTAAGATATGCATATGTGTAAGCTAACAGTAAGCGCCTACTATTAAAAAGAAAATATTGTAGGAAATGGATCAGATTATAATCTAGCCTCTGGTACAATATGTATCTAACCCCCCCCCCCCCCCCCGAATTTGTATCTCTATGCTGTTAGGAAATCTCGCCTTATGCGGTTCTTTCATTTTATTTATTTATTTTTTAAATCTTATAATTCCACATAAATAAAACCAGTTACCTAAACAATTTATCCTTTATGAATTTAAAATCTGTGAATATAGAATTTTAACTGAAGCAAGTTTTATCTGTGTGAAAATAGCAAACCTTTTGTATCTAATAACTTAAAGACGCAGCAGAAACCAACACTGACAAAAATTTAAGCCCCATTTTAAACCTTATACTGGAAGTCTCATTATAACCCTCTTTATTTTATTTATTTGTTGGTTTATTTATTATTATGTCGTGACCATTCATACAGCATATGCCATGACGAAAATACATAGAAAGACCAGCACTGCGAGCCTTATTCAAATGAGCTTGACTTTAGCACCTAAAGAACTGTAATTTGTCCCTCATCCCTTTGCGAAACCGAATTACTTGATTAAAACTGGTAAAAATTCAGGGACTTGAAGTTGCATTTCCGATTTTGAGGTTCACTTTCCCTGATGAGAAAGATAGCTCAAAGGAATAAATGTTAATTTACTAATAATTTTGATTTTATAGTCTTTTATTTGTAGAATTATATTTAAATACCTAAAGATTTTTTCTTGTATAAGTCTTAAAAAACAATGTCAGGAAATATAAGCCCGTGCTGAAATTAATCTCTGTGTGAATTATCGACACTTGTGAAATAATCTATATAATAAATTTAGTAAAATAAGTTTACCTGATTTTTCATGTTAACTTAAGATGGTACATAACTTTTCATTTACTAAACACAACTATATAAAATAAAAGGCCTTTATGCAGTTAAGGGGTGAGAAGTCATTAAATGTATGTGTCTTTATTGTGTTACCATGATATCATCAAACCTACTCAAATAAGGTACAGGCCCTGTTAGAAAAATTCATAATTATGTTCAAATACACTGAAGACGGCTTCCAAATGAACAAACAGCCTGACCTTCATTTATTTCCTTCATTTATAACTTTAACCAAACCAAAATGTCAACATAGAATATATATGTGAAACAAGCCTTTGACCCTCTCTTACTTAATCTGAACACTTATATATACATATAATAACCAGCAAAATAAAAGCTAGACTTGCTAGGTATTAGATATCTACATGTACTTAATTAAGATAAAATTCGGGGAATCCTATCTATATCAACTTGTGAACCATTGCGGCCCTCAATAATTATGCACACATTGTTATTGTTCTGGTTGAGTTTGAAGTTGTCCTCCTTGTCAAGCCCCCTAAGAGAAGAGATATCCGAATAGATGAGGATGCTGCTGGTCCAATATAACTATTAATATGTAGATTTGACAGACAATGTACAATTCAACTCGGGTGCATAGAACATATGCCCCCAGCTTTTACAGCCTGAATTGTTCATTGCAATGCTTCCATCCCAATGAAATTTTTTTGACTCAAAATCTATTTAGTCATCATTCGTATTTACTGACCTTGAGTTTTGTCATAGCATGTGTACATGTCAACTGTAAATATGTATAAACAAATACACATCTTATTTCATGTTAAATTCATATACATAAAAATGCATTAATGTAATATAACATTCAAAAGCACCACAACTTGATCTTTATTTTACTTCAAATTATTTTATTTCACAATTGATTACTGCCTTTGTTGCAATTATACCTTTAATGTCTCTCTTTGGACCATTGTTAAAATTGAATGGCCTTGATTGAAAATTTATATCCTTCAATTAGAGGTCTGTTTCTATGTGAATCGGGGTAAATAACATTTCTGAAGACATGATACAATAGCTTTATCAAACTTTAATTAATTCTTAATCTGTATGTTTTCTATTTATTATTCACTGTTTTAAGGAAAACAGTTTTTTTTTAATATCACAAAATATTTTGAATAAACTGATAAATACAACCAGCCCAAAGTTACAAAACCATCCTCATATTGTAAGAATTATAACAATGTATATTCCCATTTCTAAAACCCCCTAAACATTGGCCAAGGGACCTAAGTATCTAAATATAGGCTACCATGTGTACGGATGTTTGACCAATGACCTTGAATAACATGGACCGAATAAAGTTGAAGTTCAGAACTATTTTTAGATAGCTCATCTTGTTTAAATAATATTTCACTAAGTACGCTTTTCTTCATTCAAAATAAAATGATGAAGTTGGTTATTATTACCATATTTGTATATCTTGTACCATGTGCCAGTGTTTAAAGTATGGACGGGGGGCAAATCGATCTGTTTCAATCCAATGAAATATTTGCCATCGAGCAATATCAATGTTGATAAGATAATCCATGTTAATTCTTTGACTGAAACTTAACTTTAAAAACTGGAAATTATGATAAAATATTTCATAATACAGAAAAATAAATCGGATACTTTCATCACCCACCTTTCACTTTCATTGATGCATAGAAAAGGGGAGATAACCCGTAAACCTAGTGACTACGTACTGACACTGTATGGATGGATAAATAAATTTCGGCTCACTCATTTATTCGATTTTTCACAAAAAGGAGGTGAATGATGACATATAATTATAGAGCTTTGATAACGACGCATATTGTGAGATGAACTCAAATATGCGGTATTATATACATAATAAAAGAATACACATATCACAACAATGGAGATAAAAACAGTATTCATGCTAAAAAGGCCAATAGAACAACAAAAAGCAGGAGCAAACAATGACCTTCAAAATATCAGAGGTGGGATCAGATGCCAGGGAGGAGTGAGCAACCCCTGCCTATCGGTAACACCTGCCGTGTGCTCCTTGTTCGAAAACTAATGAAAAAATCAATTGACAATTCAGTGTGTATATGTTAATAATAGCCCAACAATTGGTACGGAAAACGTCAATCAGTATCTGACTATTTTCTAACATCCAATCGATCATAGAACTTACGAAGTAATAACTTTAAACGAAAATGTTGATATTCCTGTTTCATCAACCTAATTGTCAATAAATTACATCGTACAATATACCAATATGTATTCATAAATAGAACATGTCCTTGCTTATAGAAACAAATTCCTCTCTAGAGTAAAGATTCTGTTGGCCAAACCTAGCTTTTGTAATTTAGGGAAACAACAATACTCTATACAACTATTGTTAATGAAAGGCGGCTGAGCATGTTCTTATGTTAATTCTTTGGTAATACAAATGAAAAAGCAAAAACCAAAGTTAAATAATTTAGTTTATATCTATGTTATTCCATCTGTATCATTTTTTTTCATTTTTATTGTATATAATTTTAAATGAAATTTAAAATCTCTACAATTACATTAAACAATATGAAGTCCAAAATTTTTTTTTCATACTTTTTTTTCATTTTGTTTTTTAGTACACGTTATCGATATAGGACGCGTGCCAGCTACAGCCTTAGAAGACGCTGTTGTTATGGATACACAGGAAGTTACTGTGATAATCGTATGTATTTTGCAATTGAGGATGTTTAAAGCTTTATGGTCAGTATATGCATTATTATACATGGATATCAATGATATCCATCATCTATATTATTTCAAATACGTTTATTATGCGACTTGAATAATAAAGATTGATTGTATGTTGTTTAACGTCCCTCTCAATAATTAATCACTGATATGAGGAAGTCGCCACATGCCGGTTGAGAGCTACAAATTTTGTCCTATACTCAGCACTCAGGACCATTGATCAGTGAGCAACCCTTTTCTCATTTATACCAGAATCCACGTCCCACAGTTTTCGAACCCATGACAAAAGGATCGACATATGTGCCGTTGAGTTTGAAAAACCAAACATTTCACGGATTAAAAGTCGAATTAAGGGAAATGTAAAATAAATTGTTGTAAGGTATCATTTTTAAAACATCTACAACGCTATAAATACGGGTCGTTTTGAGATCAAATTTTCTATAAAACCCTTTGGGCTTCATGGAATTTGATCTCTTGACCAACCCTGTATTTATATCCCAATAGATGTTTTAAAATGATACCTTATTTTTTAAATACAATATGTAGCATATGTACTGAAATTAGTTTGCATTACTGAACATTTTGTAAATTATTTGTCATACTTTCTGGTGTGCCTTATTGCATATGGGGAAGAATAGAAGAGTAAAATGACGATTATTATTTTTTCAAATCATCTTTTGCCTTGTTCCAAAGTTGAAATTAAAGAAAAAAAATCTTTGCTTGCATATGTACAAACCAAACAAAAACCCAGATTAAAGATCTTTCTAGAACTATTGAGTTGTAGCCTTTCGAAAATATGACAATATTAAAAAAATAGCGGCCGTTATAATTTATATTTTCAACCTTCTAATTCCTTTTTCTCTGCTACAGATTTCCGCTTAATTATGTATTTTATCGGGAAATGGGGAACTATTACAATGTATATGATTGATAGAGATGTTTTTATAATTCCTATTGGATTTGACAAAATTCAAACAGGATTTTTCAGATTCCTGCAGAATTTCATGAAAATTCCTAGGAATGTTTTAAATTCCTACAGGAAATTACTTTCTCCCAAGGAATTTTTTTAATCAAAGTTGATACTCTCACCTGATAGGTGAGATACACACTTGCAGAAGTAGATATGAAGTCTGTACATCAAGATCTATCAGATGACATATTTGATTTTGCTGAAAACTGAATGTTTGGCGGGCGCCAATTTGCCTCTTGTAAAGCAGCACTTTTATCCTGCACAGTGGTGATATATTTTTATTAGATATACATGTATATGAGATCAAGCAATTGGTTCAGTTCAGGAAATACAATTTATGACTACAAATGGTCCACATCGTCTTTTAGCTTTTTTCAAAGTTTCAAGTAACTTTTAATTAATATTGACGCCTTCTTACAAGTCATCTAGTTTGATTCCCTCTCCACTCCACTACGACCATAAAGAAAAAATGTTCAGCTATCCTTGTTCCTGTTATAAAATTGTTACGTATTTCAAATAAAAGTGATTTCCATTGTTAAACTTTGGTTTCATTATAAAAAGTAGTAATTTTTTTTTTCTTCTGTATTTTGAAGAGACTGTATATAAAGTACAGACTGATTTACATGTAATGTTGTTTTTCTTTGTTTGTTTGAAGCAATATGCAGCTGCCAAAACGGTGGTATTTGTATAGCCCCTAATGTTTGCAGTTGTCCTGCAGGATACGCAGGAATCTTATGCCAAAGACGTAAGATCTTAAAATGTTCTTCATGGTGTATTGTAGAAAATTACTTTTAGCTATATATGTGCAATTTTGTATTGAACTCAAAAGAAAAGTTTTCTCATAATTATAAATTATTTTCCAGCAATATGCCATCCTGCTTGCCAGCATGGACACTGTGTCAGCCCAGACAGATGTAGCTGTAACTTTGGATATACGGGAGCTGCTTGCTCTCAGCGTAGGTTTCTCTCTCCACATTGACGTCAAGGATACAATAATAATTCTTTTCACCGATAGCTTAAAAATTAGCAATAAAATGTATAGTTATTATGTTTATTATGCTTTCCAGTATTTCTTTTGTGGTGTCATGTAAATTCTGAATTTACCGGGTGGCAGTAAATACAAAATTTACAAGTTGTAGTTGTCATGTTGTAAATTTTGTATTTACTGCCACCCGGTAAATTCAAAATTTACAACATGACAGTGGAATAAAGGTAAAAGATCTTGGATAGTGGGTGTTGATAGTAATTAACATTAAAAAAAAACGGAAAGCCAATTACATATATTGTTAAAATCTGAAAAAACTTACGTAGTTATCTCTTTTATCGGAATTATATGCATTTTCTATACTCTCAAAAAGTACAATGTCTCGACCCAATTTAATAAAAAAAAATATTTAACCCTGTTTAATTAGTTTAAAAATACAACAAATGTGCATTTAATCAGTCACTTTTTCTCCTCGCATTGTTTGTTTGCGTTATTGAACTATTGAACGTCAAAACTGGTCTTACGTCTATTGAGTATACAATAAGTTTGAAGGGCGTTAAATTCACATTAAAGATTAACGAAATAAACAATTATGAAGAGGGAAAATCAGAGAATGTAAATATAAGCTTTGAATTCATATTTTGGACCATCGGTCCTATAACACACCGCGGTATGATAATTTGTCAGCACGACCAGGTGTATCATAGGACCGACGACATCCAAAAATATGAATGCCATGCTTACAGTAACTGATACACAGCATACTGTATACTTTTCTTAACTTTTTAGGAAAAAATCCATTTCAATCCTAAATGTGCAAGGTATGCGTTCCGTAAAACACTCTTAGTTAACAGAAATTTATTTACAGCTATATGCAATCCACCGTGCCAATCAGGGGGAACCTGTGTAAGCATAAACACCTGTCAATGTCAATCAAATCAAGCAGGACCACAGTGTAATCAACGTAAGTTGTGCTTTTTGTCATGATGTCATGACGTGCTTTTATCTAACTGCATTATATTTGAGTAATACATGTATACATATGGTTAAGAATGTCAATATTCCGCCGATAAATGCATGGCTGAAACAGTTTACAATAATAAAATTGTTTTATTTATTTTTTCAAGTGCTATCCTCCTCATGCTTTGTATTTCACACAAACCTGTAACAAATTTACAAAAAAGTCATAAATTGGTCGTAACTTAAATTTTTCCTATCGTTTTACTCATACTCTGTTGTATCTTTTATCTCGAGTTCAAAGGGATGAATTGTATCAACGTAGGGATCAAATGTATACATTAATTTTAGAAATAAGACGACGTCGATGTATCGAATTAAAGCCATATGAGTTTTCTTTTTCCAGCAGAAGTTTTTGAATGAATGAATTATGTTTCATATGTAACCAAGCGGGGATGAAGAACGCAGGTTAAGTTTAATAAATTTATTAGGAATGAAAAAGCAATGGCAGATCTACAAATACAAAAACATATATACAATATCATAATACACATAGACACTGAGACAAAATACTTTTATTTCATATTCACTTCAAAAATAAGAAAATTTATGTTCACTAAGCCAAAAACGTCAATTTCATAGTTTAAAATATCTTTCTCTCAAAAATATGAAAAACACTTGAGCTTATGACTTGGACTTAATAAATAAAATACAAAAAATTAATAGACTAAGAAAATTACCTTTCAAGTGGTGACAACGGGCAGCTGGTAATATGTAAGTTAAGTTAAATTTCCCGCACGGACAGGGATGGGCCCATGCCTATATATATAGGCCACAGAAAAACCGGTTAAACAGTATATATAGGCAGAAAAACCGGTTAAACTACAAATTTACTGGCCAATGAGATTCTGTGAGTAGAATTCATGAATGGAGACTACTACCAAATAGTAAATTATGGCTCAGTAAGTTATTCAATAAAGATAAAAAATTTATTTTAAATAAATATGACTCCGCCACACATATAAGCACAAAAACAAGGTAATTAAGAGAATTCGTGTCCCCCGCTTACGGAAAAAGTAAACCATGCGCAGTTCGGGGGGAGGGGAGGGAGTCGGATCCCCCTGTCTGAATTTGTAGAACTATTAAATGTACACATGCATACTGAAGCAAATAAAATATGCCAATATGGATATAAAGATTTGATTGCTTATTCTTTATTATGTGTATAAAAGATTTGTACAAGCGAGACCTCATAATTTTTTCATTACATTTCATTACATGCTGAAAACTATCATTTAATAAAAAAAAGTATTTCGAAAAAAAAATTGGATCGTCCGGAATTCAAACCCGCGACCTCTTACATGTGAAGCGAGAGACATACCACTACACCATGGAACCGCTTTAAACTGGCGAAAATTACATGTATATGCAAACATGAAGTCACATATTATTTTATTATGTATTCACGTTCGATATTGTCAAAATATTACACAATGCATGGTGTCTAATCTAGCCTTATTAAATAGCTCTAATAGATGTAATGTAATAAGAAAATAAAGTCCGCCGAGAACCTGTTTTATCCGTAATAACTCTCCTCATGCCCCTATGCTAAAAAGCGATATGTAATACAATAAATACTAATAAAACAAACGGGGCGGGACACTTTGAGAGGGGTGAGAGAGGTCCTAGGGAGTTTTGGTATAAAATCACATTGCAACAGATCAAAATCTTCTGTAGATATCGCCCGGAAACGATAGTGTTACACACAGACAGAACGTATAAATTTACGACCTTGAACTCAAAATCTATAGGGGTCTTGCTAAGGCCACAGGGAGTTGTTATGTAAAATTTCATTGCAAAAGCTCAAAAGGTTCTTGAGATATCGTGCGGAACGAAAGTGTTATAACAGACAGAATTTGCAATTTTATTACCTTAACCTTTGACCTTTGACTTAAAAATCAATAGGGTTCTTCTTTAGTCCATAGGGAGTTGATATGCAAATTTTCATTGCAAGAGCTCAAAGGGTTCTCTAGATATCGTGTGGAAACAAAAGCGCTACAGACAGAAAGACGGTCGGGAGGACGGACAGACCCAAATTAATATCCCCCCACTTTTTTAGCTGGGGACAATAAGTCTGCTCACAGTGACATGAAACATTTGAAGATAACAAACAATATTCAGCATCAAACGTCCATAAAACAATACAAAATAGGAACAGAGCAAACACGGGACGCTATCAGTATCTATGGAAATTCTGACAGATTGTGTAAAGACTTGAGGTCTAACATAACAAAGATATTGTCATTGGTATAAACATGGGCACCGGTTTTCCTTTCAACAAGCCATCGCACTAGAGATTAAATTGGGATCTTACGAATGAGACTTTAAGGGGGCCGACTGGGGTTTTATTGTGTGAAAACTACAATAGCGAAACTCTTCATTTTTATACCATATATAACTTACATTAACTTCAGCGTACATGCCAAGTTTGGGGAAAATCTACCGTCCAGGTATTCTTAAGGGACCGTCACAAAATACAGGTACATTTACCATAGGATTATATAGGAAAGTTCCACTTTTTATCACTTTAAAGCATATTATACAAAAACTACAATAGACTTTTTGTTAAAACTACAATATATGATGGGTAATACTATATTGTACATTATATGTAAGAAACACAAAATTCTACCGTCTTGTTAACAGAGGGGGCATCTCAAAATGCAAAAAAATTACGAATTTTCCTGTTTTTATAGAGTACTACAAAATATAACGGGCACAAGAGATTTATATGAAAACATAATAAAAATATTGGAGATATTCTTAAATTTCTATGTTTTAAATTTCAATAGCGTATGTTTATTACTTTTTCTTTAATAACATTTTTATTACCCATTTCTTTAAGAGCTTCAGTTTATCATAACGTCTAAAACACACTATAACGACGTCAACCTACCTATCAATTGCAAAATCGGTTAAAAAATCAGTTATATAAAATTGTAATTACATTTTTAAACCTGTAATTTCTTAAGTTTGTTTAATTTTATTAATGAAGTGAAAAAAGTTGCTTTAAAACAGTAAGTACGCTTCATTTTACTATGATGCGCGAAATACTGCGCAGTGAAAACCAAAGACGGCTCCCTTAAACCGAGATTCCATGTCACAGTAAGCGTTGATAGAAGAAAAAGCTCACTGTCTATTGACCCTTAGCTCCTTCTTAATGTCTTAATTCGAAACCTTTGATTGGTATGTTAAAAAACAATATTATTTTTTTTCTTTACTCTGTTTTTCGTATGAAAGAGTTAATGCCGGAAAAAAGCTGATAAAGGAATACAAGCCAAAGTATATTCAGTAATAATGCGACCTGATAAAAGTGTGTCGGATAACTGTTTGATGTTTGTCTTTTAAGAGAGCAAAGCTTTAGAGAATAATTATAATAATATTTAATAATAACTAGAGGTAATGTAAGCAATGAGCTTACTAAATAATACCCCCTCCTCTCATATGAATATAATGACAGTGTCCATGTTTTGCTACGGGAAACCCAACATATGTAACGGATCAAAAAGTAAAGTAGGATTATAAAACTTGATTGATATTAATATCTTAACAAGTTTATTGTATAATTGATTAACTTAAGATCTTTTTTTTTAGCTTTGTGTAATCCTGCTTGTTTAAACGGTGGCGTGTGTTCCTCTGGACATGTTTGCGACTGTTCTGGTACCCACTTCACAGGGTCGAGATGTGAAATACGTAAGTAGCTTTTGTTTCTAAAGTTTATGATTCAAATGACTCATTTTATGAGTTCAATGAAGGACTATAATATTAAGTGATTTTTTTTTTTCAAATGACATTGCATTTTAAATTTTAATAACTTTGCTCTTATTTTAAAAATATTGAAGTGAAAAGGTTTAACCTTGCTTGATAAAAAAAATGGCAAAAAGATTTCAAAAAGAATGAAACATATTTTCCTAAAAGTATTAAGTACATTTTCATAATTCAAGCAGGACACAGGATAAACTAGAAAAATTGAGAAAAAATTCTTATCTTGCTTTATATATTATAAATTTAATAACAGTGTTTAATTTTATTTTTTATTGATTATTTTTTTTTATTTATAGCTGTGTGGAATCCACCAGTAATATAATATTTTAAAATGTATTTTTTAGCTGTTTGCAATCCAGCTTGCAGAAACGGTGGCACATGTGTTTCTCCCAATATATGTGATTGTCCTGAGACATACAGAGGAGCATATTGTGAAATCCGTTTGTATTTTTATTTTAAAAAACACGGTTGATAATATTATCAGCATTCGTAAATTTATTACTAAATTAAATGTTCAAATATTAAGCAGAAGCTTATTGAAAACAGAACTTAATCTAAACTAATATATTGTACATTAAGGGGGAAAGATGATAAATGAAAGAATATTTAAATCTTAAAATATTTAAAAGCGTATTGATCCATGACACCTGATTACACCTCTGATATTTTTATTGACTTTTGTTTTGCTGTCTTCCAGACTGGTATAACGCGACTTAAAAAAATCGATGTTTTTTATGTAAAAATTTTCTTGTGAACCATGAAAAAAAAGAAGAGTAATCAAGCTCAAAAGTTCATTATTTTAAGCAATATACATGTAAATTGCAAATAGAACACAAAAAGCTACTCTAAAAATATCAGAGCTAGGATAAAGTCTTTTGAAGGGGTAAGCATTCACTGTTAACCGTGCTCCGTGTCATGATCATACAAACAAAGAAATCTGTAATTTAATCTAATGTAAAATAGAACAATTTGTGAAAAACAGTTCTATTGCTTTCTGTTGCTGAATAATTCCGTACATTGTTAACAAAAAACAAGATTGATACATAGTTAATATCAGATATAATATATTGATTTATCAAATATATTGATTTGCAAGGCGTTGCAAGAAGACAAAGAAGAAAGAAAAGACGTATTACATAGAATTCAAATCAGTCTTGTAACTGAGTGAGATAAATTTTGGGGTTAATTAATGCACTTGTTGAGATAGAAAAACTGATGCATAACATTTTCCTTTAAGCATTGTGTTCCTACCATGATCCCTGTTTTCCTGGCGTATGTAGCGCCATGCTAAATTGCAGATGCACTCACGGATTTTCTGGAGAAGGGGGGTTCGAAAGATGTAAAACATGTACGGAAAACTATTCACTTGATTGTAAAATAACGTTATGGAGAAGAAAAATATTTTTAAAACTCTTATGCCGCCGAATTATGGTATAGTACAGAAAAACCCTCTCTATGTATCTTTCATCCCAATAATTATGTCTTTATCATTCCATAAGTGAAATAATTGTTGTTGTTGATCATCATAGACTCGGTGTTGTTTGATTACAGTTGATGCAAATAATATTCCAATCATTACGAAGTGTACGTCAGTTCTTAGAAATATTGAAAGGACGGGTAAAAAAAGGGAAATGTATCAATTTGTGACGGACTCGTCGGAGCCAAATTCTATGAAAACGGACATGCTTTGGCTGAATCAAAAAGGCTTCAACTATCTTAATGTTGAAATCACTGCAATGTATGTACCAGCCGATGAAATTTCAACACCTGCATACGTCAAGGACTTTGCATTTGGGATTGTTGCAGCATATTTGGAGATAGATTTGTATAAAGTGCACAAAGGTAAGTGGAAGGTCTGATTCAAAAAAAAAAAAATGATGCTGAGTTTACCAGGCCTTTTAAAACAGTTTCTTCTGTGGTTTCCAGATTCCTCTGACATCGTGTTTGTCAGTTTAAATAGTACAACATATCCCTGCCCAAATCAGCCTGGGTCTCTCCGTCCAAACGAGGCTTTGTATTCTTGCAACATCATACATCATGACTTCGATCGTCTTTTGGAGGATGGCGATAAGTATGTTGTTACATATTAATATTCTTCATTTGGCAATATGGAAGATAGTTGTTTCATGCATTTTTGGGACACGAATAATTTTTTTAAATTTTGTTTCACAGTTTAACATTGACTGTCATTGTACAAAATGGTGGATATCGTGCTTTAAAAACTTCATCTTCCACAAACTATATCGACCTTTTTAAGGGCCGTAACTCAAGCAAATCAATGATGTACAGGTTCGACTTTCGGAAACCTCACCACTGTAATCTGGATTCAAATAAGTGTTCGGTGAAAGCTTTCACTGTTCAGAATGATATTACAAAGGTAAACAAGCTATACCGTCTCTAAGTTTTATTCATTTCCTGCAACAAAGATATATGTTTGAAATTTTGTAGTTGTTAAAATTTGAGACATATAAAATTTGGTGATTTTTCGTAAATATATTAACAGAATGTTTTAAAGATCAAACATGTATAAAAATATTCTTATATATGAATTACATTGTTTGTTTAAATGGAAAGCCTATTGACAAATTTATGGACGTCTATTATCATTTCTCGTCGATTTAAGGACCCTATTCAAATTTCATGGGAAGGATGGTCTGATGCTCTCTCCGGGATAGAGAAGTACATGATTGAGATATATCCTCTGAAGCCAAACCAAAATGTTAATCCTAGTTTGACAGAACCAGATCCATGGAGTCCATCACATGTATTAACATTTAACACCTCACAGAGAGGGTGTACATACATTCCTCAAAAACAAGGAATGTTTTCTCTTATACTGAATGTTGTAGACAGAGCTAATAACACGGAATACGCAAGGATGCTAGTACTTTATGACAATACATCATCAATAACTATAGACCATTCCTCACCCATGATTTCAACCAGCGCAGTTGCAGAAACAAATTACCAGTGGCAGAATAACTTGACCAACGATATATCAATCTCGTGGAAAGGACATTTCAGAAACAAATTTCACGAAGATAAGAAACTTCTCAGTCAGGTCACTGATTTCAGACATTTCGATCACGATAAAAAGTTTCAAAAGAAAGTTCTTAATGAATTCGACGACAACGATGGAGAAAGAACATTAAATGCTATACAAAATGTCCACGGAATCTTAAAATTCGAGTACGCATATGGTAACGCAAACCAAGGAAATCAGACCCCATTAATCTTGCAACCTGTAAATGACTTAACCCAAACATTATCTTTCTTTGTTCAAAGACGAAACGGGGATACGCTAAATATATGGATCAGAGCTACTGATTCTATGGGCAATAGGGTCACCGATATTATGCATGTATATTTCGATGAAACACCGCCAACAGCCCTGTCAAGTCGCACTGTCCGATTCATACCTAATATAAATCAATCTATATACCCTTTTTCTAGCCGGTAAGTGTGCTTCTTTTGTTTTCCTTATGTTAAATGTCTATAAGTGGTGCTTTACTCTGAAATAGTACACTGAGTATATTTAAGAAGATTCGTTGAGTGTCATAATATCAAGTAATACAGAGGAGATGGAAAGAGAAATTAAAAATGAATGTAAGTGCAGCTTCCCATTCTATTTAAAGCAATATTTAACCATTCATTTAAATATTGTTCTTCCATGAGGACATATTGTTCTTCATCAAATGTAACAGAGAGAAATGAGGTAGGCCTAAGTTGCACATTTTCAATCTTGCCATTTAATGTTCCGTGTTCTCAAGTGCCGTAATAGGCCCTGATTTAGAAATATTAAATTCTGTAAATGTTTGTCATATAAAAGTTTGACGTTAAGCGAAAAGTAATACTTTTTTGAGATGCATAATGCTTCAAAACATATTTGGTGTTGCAGCTTACGAATCGACGCTCATGACCGAGAAAGTGGAATATTCAGAATTGATTGGCAATTTATATCCAATCACAGTAGAATCATTTTCAAAAAAGGATCAATACCTGGGAATAAAACTAAGGTAAGTTACCTTAAATGTTTAAGACTTTCCTCATATTTGTGTTCGTAATGGTAACGATAATGTATATTTTCATATTACTTTTATTAGCAATTTACAAAACAAAGCTATAAAAAATACGAGGGGTGTGTCCAATCATTAATTGGAACTCATTTTATCTTAATAAACTGTGTACAAATTATTATATGATATATTTTCATATTTCATTTTTTCACAAGTTATAGTGAGTCATTTTCACATTTATCACAAACAAAGCATATAAAAAATAATCTGAATGATATAGAGATAGTGTGCAAAATTTCTGATCACCCCTAGTATGTATCATGCATTTCTTAAGATTTTCTCATCCATACAGAATTTGCCACAATTTGGCGATGGATACAAAGTTCCCATGGGAGATTTTTTTCTGTACAGTCATTATCTTGATGTTGATAATTGTTGGATGGTTGTGCCTAAGGAATCCTTTTATAATGAGTTTCTTAAAATAAAAGTCAAAGTTTACAATAGAGCTATGGAATCGACGGGTTTTGAAATGACGGTAATCACTAACGATATACGACAGATAACAAATAAATTTATTCGATTAGAATTAACGTTAACCTTTTTTCAGGTACATGTACTTAATAATTTCATTTAAAAAGTTTCTAATCTAAAAATTTGATATCACTTTTTCCTGTCCTTAGTTAACGTAACTTGTAGCTTCTTTGATTTAGCTCATACATTTGGATTCTTTGCATGGAATCGATGAATGTAAGTAAAATAAATTCAATCTTTTTTTATTAAATACTTTCGCTGGATAATTTTGAGTAATCAAGAGAAATTTTTTGAAACCGCAATTCTGATACATAGTTCATTATACAATTTTTATATTTATTTAGATACTGGGCCAATAAATCTTTATGTTGATAAAAAGTACGATAATAGTGTGCGACTGAGGTGGACTTTGTCCCCTACTTGCTACGAAAGAACCAGGATAAGTCTATCTGCTTATTCGGAGAATGGAGAACAGTTTTCTCGTGTTGTTGATAAGGATGCCGATCACTTTGATCTAACAGGACTTGCGTCTGAAACAACATACAATTTGTCTTTCGTAACAGAATATGGAGATGAGAAAAGCAACCCAATATTTTTAGTTTTTAAAACATCGTTACCAAAAACATCTGCTGCTCTGACTGGTGGTCAAATAGCAGGGATATCCACACCTATAGGTTGTAAATTTTAACTTTAATTCCTGGGTTTTGCATTACATTTCTTATGTACTATTTATATATAATGTGAAAAGTTTTGCATTCGAGTGATTTGTTCCTTGATTGATATTTTTACAAATAATTTTATGATAAGTAATTTTTTCTCTTTATGATAAATGTAAGATAATACTCCTTAAAGTTGGAAAGACTAAATAAACCAAGATTTAATGACCTTCACTGCTAAAGCTTCTCGAACTTGTTTACACGGTGAATGAAGCCATGATCACCAATATTAATAAGCATTTTCAAGATATGTAGAGTCAGACTCAAGTTTGTTCAAACCATGACCCTGGAGGCAGGATGCGGCGACAATACAATGGATAAAATGTATACATATGAATATTTAGGAAGCAAATCCATGATGAGTCTTATTTTCATGATGATCTTCATGTAAATTAAATTCAAACTTATTCAATTCGTGACCTCAAGGGGGTAATGTTGAGCTATCAATTATTTAGTGGATATATAGGAAAAAATCTCCAAAAATTATCCTGATCATGTAAATCAGCAAACCAATGATTATTCATTTTAATATGAAAGTATTCTCAGTCAGTGTAGATTCAAGTTTGTACAAATCATGACCAGCAGAATTACTTTAGGGAACCACAATAGAAAATATAACTTTGACATAATAATGTGCAGGTAAAATTATGTAAAATTTTAAACCATGATTATTCATCTTAAAATGGAAATGTCTTCAACGAGTGTAGAATTCAAGTCTGATAAAAACATGAACACTTCTCTGTCTCTTCGAAGATTTAAGGATAGGATGAGTGTAACACGTATGTGACTACAGTACGTAATTTTTCAATACTAAAAACTGTTGGCTTTTCTTCAGCAAAAGCTAAAGTGAGCAATGTGGGTCATTGGCTACTTATAATGGTGATCCATTAATATAATAACATGCTGATTGCTCTCACTTACATTAATTGTTTTGTTTCCTTTATTTTCAAGTGATCATATTCTTAGTTGGGATCATTGTCGTTGTTTTCATTTTCTGGAAAAAACGGAAATGCACAAATAAACAGACAATGCCAAAGAGGATCGTCCAGGGCAATGTGCTCTATGTAAGATATTTAAGATTTGTAACTTACTTAACTCGAAATCATTGGGAAACTCACAATCAGCCTTGTGTACACGTATTTATTCATGTATATAACTTCAAAGTACGTTTGAAAGTTTAGAATAGTATGCATAATTCATTATAACTTAACGTCAGACTTATCATATGAATATTCAAAAAAAAAAAAAAATAGAAAGGGAGAAATATAATTGCTAAAAATGATTGTTTTCTTTTAGTTGATAAAAAAAATTGTATTTCTTTGTTTCAAATCCTTTGAAATTTCAATTCTATAATAATTTGGCATTTAGAACAGGGAATTTAACGATCCAGTCGCCAATGACACACACCAGCAAGAAGAGCAACCTCAGAGAATATCGCACACAACCATTACATTTGGGCCCCTAATAAAACAAGGAAACTTTGCGGACATTTATGAAATAAGCAGAGCACAAAGAACCTTGGTAGCAAAAGTAATGAAAAGTAAGATATACTTGTTCTGAATCTAAATCAATAAGAAACCATATTATACATTTACATTGAATCAAAGTGTAACATTATCAACAAATACAGGTTATATATATATATATTCTTGCATATTTTATTTTATAATAAGGCTTATTAATCTTTGCATAATTGAAATGATGAAAATTGCCTGTTCTCTTGAAGAGGGTTACACAAGCACAGACGAAGTTCTTATGCAAGCCAAGATTGATTACTACCTTTATGTAGGAAAACATGAAAATATTTTGAGATTTGTTGGAGCTGTACTTAACGACAAGATCCGTAAGAGTGCATTTCAATGTATCAAGTTTTATTCTTTTTATTTTAATCCAACTTTTTGACTACTTTTCTTTTCAAAAGTCAAACGAAAGAATACAACATAGCTTTCTTAAGACGGAGTCACATTATTTTATTGTGATTTATTGTCTTACTGTACAGTTTTAATAGAAAAGTAGAATTTTTATTAATATTCAAGTATTTTAAAGTACAATGTACAGTTTACATTTAATTTTTTTTTCTATTAATTGATCTTACAGTTTTTTTTTCTGAAAGATCAGATTTACTTAATATTTAATTTATTATATATTTTTATGTAAAGGCGGAAAATATATAGTGCTTGAATATTGCAACAAAGGTCAACTTGACATTTGGCTACAAAATGAAAGGAACAAGGCTGATGATAGAACTTTTAACAAGCTTTATAAAATAGCGAATGGAATTTGCGATGGAATGGTATATTTGGAAGAAAAAGAGGTAAGTAATGATCAAGTATCATTCAAAAATCTATTTATCACTATCTCTCTCTTTGCAGCCAGCCAGTTATCTACACTGTATCTGTCTCTCTCTTCCTCTCTATCTCTCTATCTATCTCTTTCTATCTATCCATCCATCAAACCATTTAATCTATCGAGTGATCGACCGATATTTACAGGTGGTGCATCAAAGACTTGGGACTAGAAATGTGCTTTTGAATGAGTCGGCGACGTCAGGAAGTGAACTGATACCAAAAATATACGGATTTTGTCCAACACCAAAGACTGACACAGATGGAAAAGTGAGTTTATTAAACTGTGTGTGTGTGTGTGTGAGGGTGTATGTGTGTGTGTGTGAGGGGGTGTGTGTGTGTGTGTGTGTGTGTGTGTGTGTGTGTGTGTGTGTGTGAGTGTGTGTGTGTGTGTGAGTGTGTGTGTGTGTGAGGGGGTGTGTGTGTGTGTGTGAGTGTGTGTGTGTGTGTGTGTGTGTCTTGATTTGTGAATTCTAATAAAATTGAGATATTTTACACGATAGAAAATGAAGTCTCTCTTGAAAAAGAATTACGCAACTACAATCCTAAGAAGATATTTGGACTGTTTTCAGTCCAACACCAAACATTAAAAAGGAAATGTTAACGAATAGCGATCGATATAAAAGAAAAGTTTTTAAAAGAAAATTCCTGGTATTTGCATACATGACTACAGTTATTATTCACATGTCATGTAAAAAGTAAAGAAAACTAATAATGATCGATATGAAAAAGTCCACGAAATCAAACATGTAAAAAGGGCGTAAAAGTCTGACCTCTGGAAATTCCATTGCTGGGATCAGGTGAATAGGAGGAGTAAGCATCCCCTATTGACCTTATATATGCATCATGTAGACAGAATATTCCGCAGTGAAATTCAGTAGAAAGACAAAGGCTTCACAACTGGTATGAAACAAGTCAGCCTAAGGACAACCCGGTAATATTTGCTGACAAAATCATCATAACAAACATAAAATTTGCAAAAATCCAACTTTGAACGATGCTATCAAAATTCCCGTAACATTAAAGTATTAATAAGTAGTATGTCATGATTGAAACAAGATGTGTTTGTGAAACACTATGCGCCCGGCGGCAACAAAGATAAAAAAAATATTTTAGCATATAGGTCACAGTCAAGGTCACAAGATCATTTATCTTGGTTTCATTTGTAAGAACTTGATTACAGAAGTATGCATACCGAGTATGAGGTCTCTATCTCTCAAACTTCATAAGTTATGGTGAAGGTTTAAAAAAGTTATTTTTAGCATATAGGATACAGTCAGGGTCACAAGGTCATTGGTCTTGGTGTCATGTAAAAGAGCTTAATTATTGGAGTATGCATGCCAAATATTAAGTCTGTATCTTTCTTCGTTCAAAAGTTATGGTAAGAGTTAAAGTTTGCCGACACATAAAGCTATATTTAGCGTATAGGTCACAATCAAGGTCACAATGTCATTGACAATGGTGTCATTTAAAAGAGCTTTATCATTGGTATTTGCATACAAAATATAAAGTCTATATCTGCTATGGTTCAAAAGTTATGGCGAAGGTTAAAGTTTGCAGAAAAAACTATTTTTAGCATGTAGGTCACAGTCAAGGTCACAAGGTGATTGACCTTGGTGACATTTAAAAGAACTTATTTAGTGGAGAATGCACACCAAATATGAAGTCTCTTTAATTCAAGGTTCAAAAGTACTGGCGAAAGTTAAAGTTTGTAGACAAACAGACAAACAAAGAATCAGATAAACAGACAAACAAACAGACAGACAGGACAAAAACAATATACGTCTCGGATCATGGAATCTTTCGATCCGGGCGCATAAAAGTATCGTAGGCAAAACAATCGTTTGAAAAGGAATAATCAAGTTTGAAGACATAAACACCATAAGCAGGTTATACTGAAATATTATCATAAGAATAAGCAAAAAGCTTTTTTTTTTTGAAAAAAGTATTGATGGTCTTCATAAAGTAATGGGTTATTCATGAAGGATTGTCAGACCTTAGTATTTTTCTAAAAGCACAAACATGGCCTAAGTACATTAAACATTTTAAAACAAAGCTTTAAAGCTTAGATGCTGTGAATATAAACTTTCATTATTTAATCTGACTTTGTAAAATGACAATTTAAACCATATTCCAATCCACACTTTGCAAAAGTTGTTTCCCTTTGCGGGGTCAACCAAAAGGTCAATAGGGAGAGAAACGTCGTTTCTCCTCTTTATGCTACCAAATATTTGGGCGTGTTCTGATAAATCCATTGTGTTGTATTTTTTTTCTTTTAATGTATGCATAGCCCCATCTTGGGGCAGTCAGTACACAAAAGCTTTTTTGAAGACAAATGACGAAATTACAAACCTGAAAACTACGAAGGCTACTGTGTGGATTGTATGGGTTTATCTCCTAAGATGGCGACCAAGGGACATAACTGTTGCAAAGTGTCGATTGGACTATTGTTTATACCACTTTTACTTCTAATGATAACTTGTTATACCACATATTTACCATGAAACGCGATACTTCCGAGTATGTTCTAAATACAACATATAAATATTGTTTTCTGTATTTTTTTTTCAAAGCATAGATTTCGAAATGCAAAGTAAATATCTAATATGCAGTGTACAAAAAGATATATCTTCAGAGTGGCGCTGTACGTTCGAACATTTGCTCTAGAGTAAGGGGATAATCCTTACCTTGCGGGTTCCCATCCCAATGTTGGACGTTGAGACTGGTATCGCAGTAGATGTTGGCACGAAAAAGATTCATCACTAAATAGCTAAAAGTGTCGAGCAAATTTTATTTATCTATTATTAAATATTTATTAAATTGTTTTGATTGATTGATTGATTGTATACTGTTTAACGTCCCTCTCCAGAATATTTCACTGATATGGATACGTCACAATTGCAGGTGAAGGGCTGCAAGTTTAGGCCTATGCTCGGCACTCAGGGCCATTGAGCAGGGAGGGATCTTTATCGTGCCACACCTTCTGTGACACGGGGACTGGGTTTATACCGTCTCATCCGAAAGACCGCCCCATTTAGTTGCCTTTTACCACAAGCAAGGGGGTACTGAGGACCTATTCTAACTCGGATCCCCACGGGGATAAATTGTTTTGAAAAGTGTGATGAAATATACATGGAATTTAACACCGGTCTGTGACAAAAGAGATTTTATATTTTTTGTTGAAAACAACGTTTTGTAAAATCACTGGCAAATGCCGATTTTTTCCCAATTGCATTAATCATTTCAATACTTAAACTAAAAGATTATTACATATTGATTTTTCAGTAAAAAAATAGTTCATCACTTAACATCAGTTAAAATACCAAAGATCAATGTTGACTATATAATTAATTGTGAGCATGTAAAATATTGCAAGAAATGTTGTTATGCCAGTGATTTTATCAAATACCTGGGTATTCTTTTCAATGAAATATTTACAGAAAAAATATCTTCACTTTTGGCACACATCTGTACATCCATTGCAAAATATTGCAGGTTTTGTTAGTATTTTTTCCCTCTGCTCTAATGTTTAACCATACATGTATAATTAAGTATTTCTTATTTTTGGGATAAAGGCAATTATCAACAATTCAATTTTTTCCCATGACAAAAATGTCATTCAAATAACTTTAATAGAATTTGGTAACCATGTTAATTTATTATAGATGACAGTTAAGGGTATCAATTTAAATATCGTATAATATGCCATGCAATATGATTGTAAATTTTAAATCTTATTTTACTTTTAGGAGCAAATTCATTTCAAATCAGTGGCACCAGAATGTTTCGAAAATCCCCCAGTTGTGACTACCAAGAGTGACGTCTGGTCGTTTGGTATCGTTTTATGGGAAATATTCAGTTTAGGTGCATGTTTATTATTTTATACCCGGAGAATAGGATTGATTAGCGTAGATTTTTTTTTAGCTCACCTGAGCTCAAGTGAGCTTATCTGATCAAAATCCGTCCGTCGCCTATCGTCGTTGTCGTAATGTCGTCGTTGTAAACTTGACATTTTTATCTACATCTCAAGAACCACTGGGCCAATTTCAAATTGCCACAAAGTATCCTTCGATGAAGTGATTTAAGTTTGTTCAAATGAAGGATCACGCCTTTTCCAAGGGGAGATAATTATAAATTTGTGATAATTAGTGATATTTGTATAGAAGCATCCTCAGCTAGTGTAGAATTAAAATTGTTCAAATCATAACCCCCAAAGGTAGGGTGGGGTCTCATTGGTGGATGAATGTTTTACAATATGAAATAAAGGAATATATCCCAAGAACAGAAAAGCTATGTTTAGTCATATTGACATGTAAGCGTTTTCATATATTGAAGATTTTGTTCAAATAATAACCATTTGGTCTAGGACGGGAAACAACTGGGTATCAAAAAATCAAAAATCAAAAATCTTTTAAATCCTTTTTCTCAAGAACAGCAAATTTATATGCTGTATTGATATTGAGGCATTCTCAAGTATTATCAAAATTCCAGCCCCCACCCCCAACCCCAACCCAAACCCCGTAAACTTTTCAATTCTGATCCTATTTGAGCTTTTCACTAGCCGATATGCTCAGGTGAGCGATGTGGTCCCTGGACCTCTTGTTTTGAGTCGGCTCCGCGGAGCGAGTGAATCATTGTCACCATAGCTGAAATTGTTATCACTCACTCTTCAATGTAATTCAATCGTCAAATTTAATAGTTCCAGCAAAAAAGCTTTTGTTTCAGTTGTTACATAAACTTACGAGGTGACCCTTATAAATTCAAACAGAAGTATTCGGATCTCTTGTAAAAATGTTTATTTTTTGTAACGGTATGTAGTCTTATTTGTGTATTTATAACCTAGACTTTACATTAATAAGAAAAATATCGATTATGAGATGGTATTAAAGCCCTTGATTTTTAACCAGACATGGACCCTGATGATTAATCTTTCAGGATGCAAAATAAATTGAATATAAGGTGTCCAGTTGTATGAAAGAGCTCTGTAACCTCGAGCGAATCGACTCTCAGTGGCGTCAGGCTTTTGATTTCTAATATTTCTATATTATCATTTTTTATTATTATTGAGATTGTACATTCTCTATTTGTTATCACCAATTCGTTTGCATTCGAAATGTAATTATTTGATTGATTTTCTATAAGTATAATTTAATGTATCTATAATATATTTGATGTATGTTGTATTTCATATTTTTTCAGTTTGCAATTTATCTAAATTCCATTTAGTTTTTAATACTTGCAAATGATACATTATAAATTTTAATGGTAATCCATCGTAAAATATGAATAATTAAGAGTCAAATATAAGACTTGTGTAATACAAAAGTAGAAAATACACGTACAAGTAAAGAATAATAATAATTTTCGAGGTGACGTAAGTCGGCCTCGTATGCTGCTCTACAGCTTTAATGGGGGAACCCTGTGATCACTACCATTTGCAATTTTTTATTTATCTTTGCTCTTAGGGACACTTCAGTACTCTTATTGTTAACGAGGCTGGGGTGTGGCAGCCATTTTCAGACTATTTTTATCTCCTTTAAAAGAAGAGCTCCATATAAAGATATAAAAAATGATCAAATTTAAAAAATAAAATATCTGAATTTTTTCCTTGCCAAATGATAGTTGACAGCTTAAGATACCGTATGTAAAAAAATAAGTTAAATCTGGTGGTTAATTTATGATTAATTTGTTGACCCCCAGCCTCCTTAAAATATGATACCCTCGAATCATGAGTTTTCGTGGCATTACGGTAAATTTGTAATAAAGTGCTTCAAGACTGAATAATTGAGATGTTTGCTAATTATCACATAAACAAACAATAATTCTCCTTATTTTGAAATGATTTTAACTCACATATCATTTGTTATTTGTTCAGAAGGTCATTGAATTCTTGCATAGTTGCTCTTTGGATTTTTTTAGTGACGTCATATGTTTTCGTGGTATTTTGAAAACAAGTAAACTATGGAAATCTAGTCGATTAAAATCCTTAACATTTTTACAATGTCAAAAATACAAGTTAATTGACAAAATGATTACATTATTTGACATGGAAATTTATTTGTTGTTGATTAAGACCACATCTATCTAGGCGTGCCTAAGCGGTATTGCTTAATAATGTAAAAAATTTCTCTTTCTCAAGAGTGGCCTAGAAGTAATTTTGTAAAGCTTTTTTGTATGTTTAATGTTTTAAAATATAAATTCCATGTATATTTAAAGAAATTAAATGTTTAATTCAATTAATTATCAATGGCACAATATTTTATTTATCATATATCTTTTTAACACTTCCGATTTTCTCTTTGAAAATTATATAAAAAATGGCGTTACTAGATCACCATAGAAAAAATATCAAAAGTGGGAAATTCCAAATTATTGTCACATGACCGGTAGCCGTATGGATAGTTAGCAGACGATGATATGCAGGATCGCCGGCTATTAGTTTGTAAGTTTGGTATTCTAGTTAAAAACACGACGATTAAGCGTATATTACGCAAATTGTCAAATTTGCGAACTATACATAACTCACTCGCTATATTTTATTTTGGCAAAGGCAAAAAGGTTTCACATTTGGTCATAAAACATGCACAGGGTTCCCCTTTATTTATAGCAAATATGACGTCATTTAGATCTCGCATTGTGTGATTATTCCTAAAAATAAAAAATACCACGAAAACACATGACGGGACGGTACCTTAGAAAGCAAGAATCAAATCAGAGTTAGGTTGCTAATATGTTAACAATATCACTTGCAAGATTGATAGGAAATATTAAAACGTTAATTTTTATCAGTTCTCTAAGAAATATAGTTCTCTGATTATACATGCATTGAAATCAGCATTTCAGTCACAAAACAAGATCTAAAAGTATTTATTGTGATTTCCAAGCAATAAGTAGAGTTTTATGGATTTACAAATGCTTAATACAAGTTCCTGAGTGGGAATAAGATATGAAGTATCCCTACGCTCCGAACTATTTTAGCGAGGGTAAAATATAAACAACTGGCTACGACAGAGATCGTGACCTGCATGTATGTGTATTGAACGTCATCGGTTTGAACGTCGATCGCAAGCAAGGAAAGAACAGAACAGTATAACTGAAACAAAAAAGAAAGAGGCGTTCTGCTTGAATTGAAATATGCAATTTAACGAATTAGGGGTCAAAATAGAGGCGTCTAAGGCACAATAGTCTCTACTGAGCTCCAAACCTCACCGTAAATTATCACAAGTTTTTTCACCCCTCTGTTTTTGTTATTCATCAAATTAAAAAAAATCTATTTAGAGAGTGATAATACCGTCCCTATTTTATAAATCCGATTGGTGTTTACTTATCACTGTTGAAAAAGATGAAAAACAGCGGGGCACTTGTACCTATTTCGCTGCATGCTATTGACCACTTCATCGAATACTCTGTCGGAACTCCTCTAGAATTTACGATACCGCATTTATGAAAAATATGCAAAACAGTTGGACATCTAATCAATGTCATACCAAAGAAATTGGAGATGAGTTAATATTAATATTAAGACTATTTTTATTGTCAAAAAATTGATCCATTTATACTGTTAATTATATACAGACATACATGTGTATACATTTAAGAGCTATTAATCTAGTTTACATATTTTATTTATACATGTAATAAAAATATTATTCTGTGGTTTCTATTATTAAAAATAAAGAATTCACAACGAAAGAAATAATTATATATATATATATATATATATATATATATATATATATATATATATATATATATATATTATATATATATCCAAATTTGAAAATTTCACAGTGTCCGGTTTTTATATAGGTAAAATTAAAATAAAAATTCTCCGGCTAAGAGTATAAACACATGTCGGATTTGGTTTCAAAGGTGTGAACAAACTGCAAGCATTTAATTGCTTGCTGTCAGATTCAATTATAGATAATGATTTTTAAAGTATTAATAGTTTTGTAAGACATTGCAGTCAGGATAAAGAATGCATGTGTAAAACGTCTGAAGATGTAATGAAAGCGCTAACGTTTTAATCTGTGTTGCCTTTTTTATTTTAATTTTATATATATATATATATATATATATATATATATATATATATATATATATATATATATATATATATATATATATATATATATATATATGTATATAAAGCACATTTTACAGCAACTCTTAAACTAACATAACCTACGTGAAGAAATATTAATATAGAAAGAGTTGTTGTAAAATGTGCTTTATAAATAATAATTAATTTCATTACAACATGTATTGGTAACAATCCTCTGTTAAAACTAATGTCCAAATAACTGTATCTCACTTCTATTCTCAATGACCGTGTAGTGTAGGGCAGCGCCGCGAGAATTCCATCGGCATCGAAAGCAAGGTTTTTGACTTGCCTAGATAGCCGAGCGGTCTAGCGCGCTGTTCCTGCACTGCTAGAAGACAGATTCCGAAGGTCGAAAGTTCAACCCCGGGCTGGGGCGGAAGTGGGTATCCATGTAAAAGTGAATTTCTTTGTGCTTTCTATATATATATATATATATATATATATATATATATATAAGGAATTTGAAAATAAACTTTGAAGAGTATGTAACAAAGTCTATGTTAAAACTTTGGATTGATAATAACGAATACCGGTAATTTGTTTTCCAGCTAGACATTTATAAATATGCCTTGTAAAAAGGCCTTGAAAAAAATCAAACAATATATTTTTTTAGATACACTTTTCTGTCTGTTTTCAGCACTCTGAAGATGTTTATTTACTTAAGTTAAAAACATCATTGACATGAATTTAATTTTTCAAATTTTAAATAATGATCAATGTGCACTATAAGAGGACTCCAAAGAATTTAAAAACTTCTAAGTGGCATCTCCCTAAATTTGGTCCCTGAGATTACAAATTTGTTTCTTGTATTTACCGGTCTAAGAAACCTGTAAATAATTTTTCCTATATTTTGAAAACATATTTATCTTCAGTCGTGGAAGAAGAATTTATTTAAAATTTTAGAATGCAATATTACCTTTCTTTAAACTGTCTAAATAGGCCTGCTTAAAAATGGCAAAAAATTATCAAACTTCAGAGAGGATTTTTTTGTATTAAATGCTAACTGCATCAGTGATAAATGTTGTCTTCTGGCTCCGGGGCCATAAAATTTGATGATCTAACTTTTAATCTTAAGTTCACTTTTACCTTAGGAATTACTAGTATTAGTCATGTTAGTGGAAAAGTGAGACTGAGATCAAGAGTGGGCTCATCAAAGTTTTATGGCCCCAGAGCCTGGAATTTCAAAAATATACGACACATTATTTTCTTTTTTATAAATTCATATCTGTATGCCAAATATTCTTTTGTTAGCATTTCTGTATTTGTATAACTGAGTATCGCCAAATCCCAATAATCCGTCAGTACCCTAAATCCATCCCATTCCGGAAACTCCGCGCAGTTTGTAAATGAGTGCGAATGTGACGTAATTTATGCATGCAGAAAAACCTACAACCAAATTCAAAGCTATTATAATACTAGTAGTTAAGTTGCAAAATGCGTCATAACAAATAAAATTAACACTAATTTAATTGTTGGTATCATATTTTATGTGAATTCAGTAAGCATCTTTTCCCCTATGTGCCATTTGATCGAAACCCCCGACAGGTGCGTCTACATGCTCATTTTTCCATGTCAGCCATTTTTATGAAGGTCTATTACAAAGGTTCAACATGACACACCATGATGAGTACTAAATTATTTTATTTATTTATTTATTTTGCATACAATTGCCCAAATGTACTATGTGTTGTGATAGCGTTAGCGCGACATTTTTACATATATAAAATACGTTAGTATAACGTTATTTGTGTTTGCCTTTCTAAAAATGCAATTTAATACTATTTGAAATCTTAAAAACAATTTCTCATGTTTGAAATGCAAGAAAAGCGTGTAAAAACTTTAACTATGGGAATTTTTTTAAATATGTTATAGAAGACCCTGGTGCCTGAGTTAGGGGACAAAATGACACTGGCAGGACACACGTTCTATTTACATGTAGTGGTTTTATATAAGCCAAGTAATTGTACTTTTCTGTTTACATCATTTAAAATTATGTCTATCTTTGTTACTGTGTAACAATAAACAAATCAAAATATAATTTGAAAAGAAATGCGAGGTGTTTTCCGCTTATGGTGAGGGGCACTTAGGGATAACTAGATCAGTTTTTATATTGTAGGGTGGGGCCACAATGCCCGATCAAAGTTTTATGTTGGAATATATAGGGAAAATCTTTAAAAATCTTCTTCTCAAGAACCACTGGGCCAGGAAAGATGCAATTCATGTGGAAGAATTGTCAGGTAGTGTAGATTCAAGTTTGTTCAAATCATGACCCCCGGGGGTAGGGTGGGGCCACAATGGCCGATCAAAGTTTTACATATTAGGAGTATACAGGGAAAATCTTTAAAAATATTCTTCTCAAGAACCAGTGAGCCAAGAAAGATGAAACTCATGTGGAAGCATCCTCAGGTAGTGTAGACTCAAGTTGTTTCAAATCATGACACCCGAGGGTAGGGTGGGGTCGCAATGCCCGATCAAAGTTTTATGTTGGAATATATAGGGGAAATCTTTAAAAATCTTCTTCTCAAGAACTAGTGAGCCAAGAAAGATGAAACTTATGTGAAAGCATTGTCAGGTAGTGTAGATTCAAGTTTGTTCAAATCATGACCCCCGGGGGTAGGATGGGGCAACAATCCTCGATCAAAGTTTTGCATAGGAGTATACAGGGAAAATCTTTAAAAAAAAATCTTCTTCTCAAGTACTTCAAAGCAATTTTGCTAAGAAATAGTATAGGAAGAAAATGTTTTTAAAAAATATTTTCATCAAGAACAGCAAAGTCATATGCTGTATTAATATGAAGGCAATCTACAGTAGTATTAAATTATTCAAGCCCCCCCCCCCCCTTTCAGTAAACTTTTCAGTTCTGATCTAATTTGTGATTTTTCCTAGCCGATTTGCTCGGGTGAGCGATGTGGCCCCTCGGCCTCTTGTTTACTTTTATGTTCTTGCAATGTTTTATAAGAGAAATCAATTGTACAAATCATTTTTTGTATTTGCGAGTAGGTAAAAATATATGCCCCACCTATGATAACTGGCTAAACAAAATGTATTTGTTAATTTTATGCACATTTTTACTCAAGCCCTAGAGGGGCTTGAGTTATCTAAAACGATGCTAGGTCATCGATTTACTCAGTTAAAATACACGAAAAGATATTATTTTTGTAGATAAAAATATTTCTAGAAACAAAAATGAAGCTTATTTTGAAAAAGTCTGTATAGTCAAAGATATTAAGCGTTAAACGTCGGATTCTTTTCTATGGCGAATGAACAATGACTGAAGCTCCGCAGCTGCAACTATACCGAGATTTCACGCTTTCCTTTGCGTAGGAATCTCAGGTAACTTTTACAGACGCCGACAAAGCATCATTGGACGAGTCCACTGTCTGTTTACTCTGAAAGGTGATGCAGGTTACCCCATCGTTAACAAATTCTACTACCATGGCCAGAAAATGTATGGTTGTATCCCATATTGAAATTGCTTCTCACGGGCCTGAGAATGATGTGCATGTGCACTTTGAAGGACAGTAAAATAATAGCATAACATCAATGATAAATTCTCCCTCGTACTTTTTTTTGAATTTCAAAAGATTGTTCTAGTTATCTTCAGCTTTGGTAACGAACCTACATAACTTCTTTTTGATTCATATGGATGTCGCACAGCCAGATGAACCGGCGTGATCGATGTACTTCATTAAGCAAAAAACAAAAAACAAAAAAAAACAAAAAAAAAACGTACATATAGTTTGAAGTACATGTATATCAACATAAAAAATATTTCATTAAATTAAGAAACAGCCACTATGCTCTATAAAATATTGCTAAACGTGAGTAAGTAAATTCATCTTAAAAAGTAGTACCATTAATTATATTTATTCTAATTAAATTCAATATATGAATTTTGTATTTTATTCAACAGAAGATTGAACTCATTAGCCCTCATCTTATACCATTATGGGATATTAATGACACTTCCTAGTTGACTTTCTACAGCTTGAGTATCTCTGACGTTTTGTCAGTATATACTTGTTTTTTTTTTTGCATGATCTGTCTCGTCATTTATTAGATCAAAATAATTGACAAATTTCAATTCAAACTCTCTTCATTTTGTTTTTACAATATCAAACGAAGCAAAACTATTGTCAATGTATTTGCATAAATAAGAATAATGAATTCAAATTGAACTTACGATTTATTGAGATTTGTAAACAACTTTCGTTAACATTACCAAAAACAAATTCAAAAGAAATAAATTTCTTATAAATAACAAATGGAAAGTTATTGATCTCTAATTTCAAAAATATTTGAGATGATAAATCATTTTATCAAGAAATATTCTATCGAAAATTATAGTGGTTCACTGCGAATATACATATATAATTAGACGTCACAACTTGAAATTAGACAATAAAAACAAAAAAATTAAACAATGAAAATGAAAACACAAAATAAAGAAAAATAATAAAAAAAATAAAATAAAGATTACTAGTTCAAGCTTAGTGAATATTAAAGAATTAAAAGGGGGAAATTATGGAATACATTTTCAAATATTCTACAATTGAAACACCATAAAAAAGTGTTACAACCGAAAAAAATTTTTTTAAGATACTAAGTAAAACAAATTGAAAATCATTACAAATTAGAGTTTAATAATACAATTGGAATTTTTAGCAATGCATTAAAAATTATGCAATATCTATACAAAATGTATCCATAAAAACATAAAAATATGTTATAAATGTGTTTGACTCAAATAAAAAAAACCATTTTCAATAAATTTTTTTCACATGATAAAGTAACAAAGATGTACTAGTAAAATTGATAAAAACCGTTTTTGCATTCAAATCTGATTGAATTCAAAAAAGTAAGAAATTTCAGGTGAAGATCCATATCCAAATAAGACAAAGGAAGAGGTTTGGGAATGTCTTCAAAATGGAGAAAGACCAAAGAGACCTCAATATGATAAGTAAGGACATGCAGTTACTTCTATATTACATGTATTTAAGGAATGAAGCTTATTGCAACTTTTGTTATACGATATAGCATAACTTGGGGCAATTGACGCTTAAACTGCCCTAAGTTATGTTATATCGAATAAAATAGTTGAAATAAGCTTCATTACTCATAGGTTAATTTTAGTGTAGACAATGATTTCCTCTGGAAAAGGCTTCAAATTTAGCATATTTCAAAAGTAACGTCAAGCGGAGTAAAAAGTTTTTGACATAACTCAATGTGACGTAGGCATGTTATATTATACAAAATAAATGACATCTTTTACCCAATCAAATGACATTTTACAACTAGAATTAAATTAATTATGCATTTTCTTGATAATGGAGATAGTTGAACCTCTAACAAACGCAATTATGTGAAAAATAATACCTGTCAATTCAAAAATAGTTGATTCAGAAACAATTTCACTCGAGTTATATTTTAAATTTTTGTAGGTATTACAACGTGATGACGATGTGCTGGCACCAGGACGCAGATACCCGACCGTCATTCATAGAAATAAATCACATGCTTAATGATAATAATCAATACCAGTGATGCATTTCTTAAGATGTTAATCAATATTAATAACTATGCATTTATTTTGTTGTTGTGTTTGTACATATTTTGCATATTAGCCAATCATTTAGTTAAATCTGTAGTTACATGTATTTTAGTCAGTTAATTTCTTTGATCTGCCTTTGCAGATATGTCAAAATGAAAGGTTTTATTGATTGAATGTTATTTTACGTCCCATTTGAGATTTTTTTTCACTCATATAGAGATATTTACATATACCGGTGAAGGCTTCAAATTGGGGCCGTTACTCGGCACTCAAGGCCATTGAACAGTAAGTTATCTTTATCGTGCCAACGCCTGCCATGACACAGGGCCTTAAGTGAAAGACCTGCAACTTCCACTACGAGTGCCGATCGCATAGCAAAGGAAAAGTTGCTATTATAATATTTTTTATCGACTTGTTTCATGAAGTCGCGGACGAAATTTGAATTCACGACCTTTCGAACATGGAGCGAACGCTAGACCGAATGAGCTACGGACGTCTTGAAAGGTATTTAAAATTGTTTATCAAAATCTTTCATGAATGATAGCACTGAGGCGTAATTTAACTCCTTAATCAAACTTTAATGATAATCTAGTTTTAACAAAGCTCTGATAGAGCTTGCATCATAACATGCATAAAGCTTTTATTGTACCATGCAATTATTGATTGCTGTCGGTGATATATTTTTCCAAAAAGTTTGAAAATTTGATGCTGGATTTTTTCATGTTGAGCACATAATATTCAGAGAAGTGTTACTGAACATTTAACTGAAACTTAAGACAGTACTCGTATCTTCTTAATATTTTTTTCCAGAACATTAACAATTGCCTTTTGTTTATTATTATGTACGTGCATATATTCGTTTATCACTAAAATAGTTTAATAGGGCTATATATTTATGTGTAAGATGTACATTCTTTTTCAATGACAATATTGTTGACTGTATAATTGTTATAATCCTAAATAATTATCTGTAAAAACTTTTAAAAAATTATATTTAGGTATTTAGAAACAAATAATAATATAATGTAATCACGATTGTAGCTATTTGATATTAGTAATTGAGAAAATTATATCCGCATGCCAGTTTTCCTTTATTAATTTCAAACCAAAAAAAATCAAGAATAGATGAAGATCTTTATAATTATTTTATGCTTTAATATATTCAATTATCAGTTTTGCCAGGGAAGAAAGAGAAATGTTTAACAGTGTATAAGATTATATCTCTATTACATGTACTATGTAAAGACGTTTTTGTTAATGAAACTTAATACCTACGTATATGCTTACATGTAGATATTTTAAAATATAACTATAAAATTATATTAAATAAATATTTGGAATGCAAATTGTTTATTTTTTTATATTAATTATTTATAACATTTGATGGCACAACGTTTGCAAACACTATAAGCTAGTCAAACGAAAAAAATATTTTTATTCTGTATTCTGTCTGATACATTTTCCAGACAATCAGCCACTATCTCGATAATGGAAGAGGTGTTTAAGAACAGAGTTTACTTTTCTAATTTGAACTTACGCATTTAAGATTTTAGTGCGTTTTCTTTTGCAACACTGAGGAAAGAAATATAAAAATCAAAATATGATATCATTGTGATTTTTTTTTCATAACTTTAATTCCAAATACCTTCTTATATGAATATTGAATGTTTACAGACATTAAATGTTATAATTTATCATTTTTTTTTACATATACAGTGACCTAGATTAGAAAAGTTAGAATAGTGAGGTCCTTTGCTAGTTATATGTACTACAATGAGCCTTCCAAATTAAATTGTTCGTTCAAACTTCTTGTACTTAAAATATGATACCTTATAATTTGTTGGAAATATCTCCCAAGAATCCTACATATCTTATAGTGCATGTTTCCTGATATTTTTTTTTTCAAGAGTAATTGTGTATTTTGGGCTTCTAAAACTCAGTGCTTAGATTTAATCATGTTCATAGATATAAATAATTTTCTGTCTATTCCATGTCTATCAAGTGTTCAGAAAATTTCTGTGAAAGTACTGACTGAGAAAACATTACAGAATCAAAGAAAGATAGAAACAGTACCGCCACTGTCAGACATAAGCAGGAACTTTATAAGGCGATGGTTAGCAGTTTGTGTGCTATCACATATTCATTAATGCATAGAAAGACAACCTCTTTCTTCGAATTCTCTGCTCAAAGACTTTCTAATTTTCAAAGAAGAAGAAAGTCGACCGTGAACAACCTACTACGACTGAAGCTTCACATGTAAAAGTACAAGTGATATCAAAATATTTTTTTGAATTATTTATTTTGTCAAGAAAGGCATGATTTTTGGTACATTGTTTTAGAGAACACTCTCTACCAGCACAATATATTACAGCCTTCTGATTTTCATCTCAATGGTTTTCAGTGAGTAATTATAACCATGCCAATGATACCAGTTTATGCCATCTGCAAAAGACGAATGGTGTCCTTTTAGGTAGAGACCATTTGGATTAGCATGATGACAGGCTTTATACCAAAAACCGCTTTTGTATTTTTTTGAACAGTCGTGTCTATCTCTGTCTTTTGTAACAAAAGGTTGACCATTAACAAGAGCCATGGAATCTCCTGAAAAGAAACATACAAATAAACTGTGTGTTATATTCTGCAAAGTTGAGAATAAAAGTCCATTGAATAAACGAAGTATGGTTAGTTATTTGAATTTAAAACATACATATTAAAAGAATACTTAAACTGTTTTATTGATATCGAATAATGAAAATGGTGCATTTTCATTATTTGAGAAAGTTCCATAACAAAAATTAAAAAAATGTATTGTATAATTCTTGATTATTCCTGAGTAGATAAGATATGATGAAAAATGTTTTAAGTACAAGTTTACAATCATTTCATTTTCTCCTTGCCAGAGAAACCAAAACATATCAAAACCGGTCATCTAAACTTAATTTTCCGCTGAAATATAGGTGAAATATTGTTGACTCAGCACTAATCAGTGAATCAATCAATATTTATTATATATAGTCGTAAAATTTTTTTTCAAATAATGTTGACCTCTGAAACCTCTTGATAAAAATCAAAGTTCCATACACTGCACAAATTTAGATTTAAGAGTGGATTGCATTTAAAACGTCTTTAAAAAAGCTTCCACAAAAACTATAGTTTTCCATAGTTAACTTATGTAAATCTAAGTATGAAAGTCCTCACTAATGAAACAAAGAATCAAAGTTTTTACGTTAGTTAAAGAAAGTCTCAAAGCTTTCACGATAGTAATTAAAAGTGATCACAAAAGCTATTCTATTTATCACAGTTTTTACAATAGTTAATCAAACTATCAAAGTTTTCACTTGAATTGAAGTTATGAATTTCTAAAAATCAAATGAAGGTCAAAACATCCTATTTTGATTATCTACTTTCTATTATTTTTTGAAAATAAAATTGCAAACATTTTTGTATTTTTTTTACCCACGTGTATACAAGGCGGGAAAATGAAAGTGTTTGACGTGTGAACAGACAATCGTCTTCAAATTAAACATGCAAACTCAGATTATCAGTTAGCACAGGTAGCTGGTCTTTCAATAAAATCAGAAGCTATTGTTTTTTATTGATTAACTGTAAAACATCGTGCTGAATTCTTTATGTAATTCTTTGTCGTACGAATACACTCTACATCTGCATCTGCCCAAATTGTTGGTGAAAAATATGAGTGTTTGTTGTTTGGAACTTATATTCCGTATCAAATCTGGCTGATTCGATATCTAGCGGTAATGAGTTGTTTTCGGATGATTCAATATGTAGTGATAATAAATTGTTTTCGGTCAAGAAAAATGTAGCGCTAATGATCGGTCGAAAATTAGAAAAAAAAAATGTAGCGGCAATGAGTTGATTTTTGGGGCGATATAGCGATAAAGTTGACCTCCCTATTTATACATATATATGAAACAATAAAATCACTTTAAGGTCACAAGGACTTTAATTTTTTTAAAAAAGGAAAATAAAATCGATGAGCCATCCGCTGAAGACGGTAGACCCGGCCTATAAAGAAACAGAGTACAAAGGGGTGATCAAAAGGTTCGCGAACTAATTGAATAACTTCCATAAAGGAAACAATATTTCGTCTCAGTGTTGATTATTGCGTGGACCCTGAGGTCATGCACGCAGTAAATATATAAGCGAGGTTAAATCGGATGCCATGGACATATGTCAAACTACGCATGCGCGAAAATGCTCGAGAGTTCGCAATCGGGTCTTTCCGTCAGAGGTCGGAAAAACAACTTAAGCCAGTCAAAAAGACCGAAGATTTAGCGATTGGGAGAGTTCGCCCCCCCCCTTAAGACAGCTTACCCGTAGAATATACCATGTTCATTGGCAAATATCGCTTTTAAATCTGCATACCGTATTTATTAGTTTATTAGCGCATCCGAATTTCTTTCTTATACATATACTTTTATATACAAATTAAGCATTGCTTCTATGGCAGATGCATTTTAAAAAGTAGAAAGAACTTGTCTTTATCGGCATTTGTTTTGTGCATCAAGGCTCGCAAAAATAATCTGATATACAGAAATCCATATACAGCTTGATACAGGCCTTACGCAACGGATTTCCATGTGCATGAAAAGGGGGGGGGGGCTCTGAAAAAAAATACTACAGCTAGAGCTATGCTACACGTGTAACATAAGATTTTTTCAAATCATAGATTTCTTCCGTATAAATTCAGAAGAGATGTCAAGCCCCAGCCACTAAGGCTTACGTGTATTAATATAGCCCATTTTTTAAATATGAGAAAACTTTATCGGAGATAACATTTAACAATTTTGCTATGAAAGTACTATCAGTCAAAGTAGGCAGATCATAATAGAAAATGTTAAAACAAACCTACATGAATATTTACTAAACCTAGAAATTGTTTTGAATTCAATTTCGGTTAGAAAAACATGCATATGGTCCACGTATTGTAGTCCTTTTTTGAAAGGACAGCAACTTGTATTTTACATTAGTACTCTCCAATGTTAATGAACATCAGCCACCGTTCTGCGCATGCGCGAATCACGTGATATTGGCGGTCACGTGACGCCCCCCCCCCCCCCGTAGCGTTCTGTCACAAAAGCTGAAAGATTTTTCTGAGTTTTATATTTCCGTCCATGTCAGTTAATTTTTATAACAAGAACAGTTCATTTGTCAGAAATGATCAAATCTTTGCAACAGAATGGGTGGATAAGAATAAACTTTCCAAAAATAAGCATTAAAACACAGATCTTCTGTCTCGGGAGAGACGTTTATTCATGGTAGATAGCGAATGGGTGCCTCCTTTTTATCATGTCTAATATGTTTAAAATCTAAAGTAAACGATATCTTGGGTATTTAATAATTATATTATTGTTCAAATATTCAACTATTTTTCAAACTGTAAATTGGAGGTAAATTGATAGCAAATTGCTTATTTTAATAATTAAAAACACATATCTTTTCAAACTTGCTTTTACTGGGCAAGATAACAAGTATCATTTTTAACCATCTGCCTTCCCTCACTAAAACGATCAATCCAATCATTGATTGATTTTAAAGGAAGTAATTGGTCTAATAAATTGTGTACAATTTTTTATATGCTACGGCAAAGGGGTTTCTAAAATATACAATAAATTGTATACAGTCGTTTGTTGAACGAGTAAGACTGAGACAACCATTTTTCGTCACAAGTGACCTACATAGTGACGTCATTTTTATATTGTGACGTCACAAACAAGGAGAAATACTTTATTCAGCATATGCTATTTATAGACCATGTGTATGGCTATGTGTGTACTAATCTAAATTGTGGTTTTGTAGATATAGAGATAGTTCGCGAACTTTTTGATCACCCCTCGTAAAATCGTTTGCTCCTATACTTTGTGTGGAAAACATAACTACCTGCGTCTCCATGATACTCCTCCACAGTGAGTTTGTATCTACTACTCCTGTCGCCAACAGAAAACACCCTATATTCTGCGTATCTCCTCTTCCCTCCGAAGTCTGACATATCTACTCTTAACTCGTACCATCCTTGTGACGTCAATTGATGAATTCTCTGTGTACCTATGTGTAATGATGTTTTTATGCTAAATGAAGATTTTTGGCATATATACATATTCTTTTTGCCCTGACCATCCTTCGTTTTTCTTGTTTAATTTTTGTGTGTTCGCTAAACCCTTAACCTTCTTCATAACTTTTGACAGGATGGATCAATGGCTTTCTTATTTTCTTATTTCATATGTGTATTCCATGTGACAGGGCTTTCCTTTGGGACCAACAGTTTTGACACCTTGGAGTCTGACGCACATTTGCAAAATATTTAAAACTTTTAAACCTTGACCACATATGTAACTTTTAAACAGTTCAAGCTAGGTCTTTTATACTTCACTTGCATATTTCTTGTGACACATCCTTGAATAGCACACCAACCATTTGCACTTCTATTTTCAAACTTGACCCATTATTGATATCTTTGAACCTAAGTTATATCTTTTGAGCAAAAATATATTCCTTCTTTTCCCTCAGGACAGGACCTTCCCTTAGATATGAACATTTTTACTCTTTGACTTTAACCTTGGAGTTAGGCCTTCTTTTGAAAAAAAAATGACCAAAATTTTTAAACAGATAGAGATGGAGCTTTTATATTTCACAATTTTATTCCTTGTGATAAGTAATACCGGTACCGAAAATTTTGACCCGTTGACCTTGTCCTAGTTTTGAAATAACGTTACCTTCTGCCACACATGTTCATTTTGAACAGTTGGTCCTATGATTTTCATACTTCACATGTTTATTTCTTTTGACACAATTCCCTAGAGTACAAAAAATTATGGTCCTTAAGGTCCCGAACCTTGATCTTACAGATTGAATCACATGTACTTAAAAACACATATCTTTGTTTTAACTTTTGAGCTGTCTGTACTTTGGCTTAAAAATTTCACATATGTATTTCCTGTCTCAAGAGCTTACCATGTATACTAATAGTTTTGACTTTTTCTATGATCTTGGAATTCATCGTATTTCGAAAAAAATCATTGGCCATAACTTTAAAATCGTTTCTTCGAGAGTATTTACGAATGCACTTCTTATGACAAGGCCTTTGTTGGGCATTATCAATTTGACATTGTTTAACTTTGACTTAAACGTTTAGAACCATTAATAAAAAATTAATCTTGACATTATGGTCATTGATCATGCAAATTCAAGAGATAAACTAGAGGTACTGTGAGGAATGAGCTCATCAAACGATATCCCCCTCCTCCCACATGAATATAATGGGAGTGTCCATGTTTTGTTGTGGGAAACCCAAAATATGTGTCAGATCAAAAAGTAAAATAGGGGGTGCACAATGGAAATATGTAATAAAGATTCTGTGAAAGTTTCATCAAATTTCATTCAGTGGTTTCAGAGGAGTTAAGGATAAGAGATGGGTACCCCAAAGCGTAACAGACAGACAAACGGACGGACAGACAAACCGATTACTATATACCCTCCCGCTTTTCAAGCGGGAGTAGAAAAAAAGGTCTTGTCATAAGAAATACATATGTGAAGTAAGACAGCCGTAACTTCAACCAATCAAGGTTATTGGCAGGGTTAAGTTTTTAGGAACGAACATATTAACAGACAGACAGATGGATAAACAGAACAAATTTTATTTACCCCTTTAAGCCTCTATTACGGGGACATAAAAACAAACAGCAATGCATTAATTTAAAAAATTAAAATATTACTGATTACTTTTGTTTAAAGATAATTAATTTGAAACAGTCGAATTGATTTGAAATAACGATATGGAGATAACGAACAGTATTAATATCAAAGTCCATAAAATAATACAAAACAGGAGCAGAGCAAACAAGGACATCCAAAACATCAGAGACGGAATCAGGTGCCATGGAGGAGTGAGCATCCCCTGTCGACCGGTCATACCCGCCTTGTGCTCGATCCTTGACATGATCGGGAAATAACGGAAAATCTGTCGTCAATTCAGTCTATAGATAATGGACTAACAATGTGTATGAAAAACGTCAGTCAGCATTTTGAAATAAAAGCACTGCTTTAAATGCATGTTGAAAAATCAAATAAACCTACCTAGCCAATATTCTCCATTAACGTTTCCGAATCCATACGTATAGTCCTCCCAGTTGCGGTTGAAACCCACTCTTCCATCCTTACGTTTTTGGAAGATCTTGCGTAAAAGATCGAATAATATTTAAAGTTAACTAAATATACCACATATATGATATTATATATAAAATCTCAAATATACAAGATTATGTTTTTTTCTGTATAGTCTTTAAAAGAAACTAAAAAACTATCCAGTCTGAAATAAAATAAATAAAACAAACAAACAACGAAACAAAACCACAGAAAGAAGTATTTTCGAAAATCATAGTTTAAAATAATAGTTTTAAGTTTTTATTAATTTATTGAATTGTGTATAAATATAAGGAATCTCTTTTTTTCAAATGATCTTTTTCTTTTTTGTTAATATCATCTCTTTTACAATACGCCCTCAGTCAAATGTTAAGGACAAAATAAGTTAATATTACTCATTTTTTCCCATTTTCTGAATTATCGATCAAAAAATAATATAAAATATAAACATGTACGTGTAGCACGGTTTATACAAATCCATCTTCCCAAGTCAAGGAATTTTGATCACATGGAGTAGAGCGGATCAAAATCCTTCAAATTTATATGGAGCGGAGTGGATAAAAAAAATTCTTGACTTTGGAAAATGATACAAACTTAGGTACATGTACATTATAAAGCAAGAGAGAATTTTATCTCCATTTTAAATACCATATTTCAATGATTAGTAACGTCAATGACAAGCATTTTCATGTATAGCGTAAAACTTGTAAAAATAAGCATTGCTTTGGTAGAAAACAATATGTTTTGAGGACCTTTTTCATGATTTTTTGTTTCAATATTCTATATAGAATTCCCTTTTAAAAAGAGTATAATTTATTTCGTTATCGCCATATATTCAGTATTTCATTCAGTAAAGATTATCAGGTAAAAATAAGGTACATGTAATTTTTTCAACAGTTTTTCAATACAATTCTAAAATAAATATTAAAAACGTTACTGTCCATCCGCCTCCTCTAGTCTTCATATCACAGAAAACTCTTAATCCGCCCGTGCCTCTCGGGTAGATAGTGTACACCCCATTGTCAGTGGTTCCTGACCATAAAATATCCTGACAGTCTTGTGGCAGCAATGCTGAGAGGGATGCTTAAATAGGTACATGTAATTTTCAGAATTCACTTAGGTTAGATTTACAGACAGACAGATGGATGAACAGACCAAAACAAATTTTTGAGTTTCATTTTAAACCTTATATAGAAAGGGGTTGTCAGTAAAAATTAAGTTTTTCAGGGTTATACATTTAATAATACAATTGCCTTACTTGAATCCTTCAAAGCATCTAAAGACTGTTATGAAATAACTTTTGCTGAGAATGAATTTTATTGGTATGAACAAGGAATTAACAACAAAAATTATAATGAAAATACCCGTAAATCTGGAAATTTTTATGTCGATTTTATTTTGCGAATTCGGGTTAAAATGCTGTTGATTAATTTTTACGTTTCAAAATTTTGCGAATGACCACTGTTTTGTTTACATTTTCTTATTGGTAATTTATTTTTAAGAAAAATATTTTTGCGAATGCAATGAACTCGCAAATTTGCTAAAAATTTATCTACAGCATAAATTTCCAGATTTACGGTATACAATATTCTTCTTAAACTAAGAGTAATTTGCAAAGAGACGTGTAATATTGATTGGCTGTTTAAGTTTAAGTTTGGTTGAAGAATGCAATTAAGGCATTATTATCAATCTTTTAAAAGCATAAATAAAATGTTACTCTGCCAAACTTTCATAGGAATGAAACTAGTCAATCAAAATAGTGTTACAATTAATATGCATGTATTTACTTACGTTTTCTTTGGTTTATTTTACTTGATATTCCGAGAGCAAAAACTGCTGCATAGAAACAAATATGTCTAATCACCATAGTTGACAATGTAAGAATAAAACTGTGGATCTTGATGTTTTTTTAGGACTTTGTCTAATTTCATTTTATTGATCGACAGCAAGAAATATAATATTTATTTGTCTTCTTTAAAAGCACCATATTGTACACGCAAAGTTAATGAGTGTAATTTTATCTGGATGATACGAAAGCCCAGAAGGCTCATTCGCACGAAAGCCCAGAGGACTCATTCGAGATTCAAGGTTCGAAATACGAGATTCAAAATTCGAGATTCGAAATTCGAGTTTCGAGATTCAAGATCCAGATTAACCAATCAAAAGGCTCATTCGAGATTCGAGGTTCGAAATACGAGATTCGAAATTCGAGTTTCGAGATTCAAAATCCAGATTAACTAATCAAATACGGGTTCAACATTTGATTACTTCCCTTTATTATGTTTTATCTATCAATAAATCGTTTAATATATTTATAACAAATGAGTCATTTGATTAAATTACAATACAAGAAAGAGTGTTATATATATTAGAAGGAAAGTTAAATAATCATTTGATTTTTGATCAGCAAGATATACTTCAATTTATATTATGACTTCTTAAATATTAAATAGAATACATATATATCAGGACCCTCATTTATCTATTATATATATATTTTTGCATTGTCTACTCTATATAAAGGGTTGCTGACATAATAATACAGTTATAAATAGTGTCTAAAGATTAACAAAATCCCCACCCCTACCGGCAACACCTGCCAATTTTTCCCGACACTGAAAATGTTACTTTAAAAATTTGAAAGGCAAGGTAGCCTTGATAAATAAAAACCGCGCTCGTTTTCCTAATAGAGGGAATACATTAAAATAAAGTTTTCAATTACTTATCTTCATCTAAGGCTTTGATTTCTTGAACTAATTAACAATTATATATACAATACAGATTGCAAATATGAATTATAATAAATGCAGCATTCATTTTATCTGATATCAAACAGTAGATTAGTCTAAATTAGCTGCAGAACTATAGCGTTATGGTTTTATATTTTAGTCTCTGACCATAGTGTTATGGTCAAAGACTAAAATATACTTTATTTATCGGTTTTTATTTATCAAGGCTACAAGGATTTTGTTAATCTTTAGTCACTATTTATAACTTTATTATTATGTCAACAATCCTTTATATATAGTAGACAATGCAAAAATATATATATTTCTGATTATGTATTCTATTTAATATTTAAGAAGTCATAATATAAATTGAAGTATATCTTGCTGACCAAAAATCAAATGATTATTTAACTTTCTTTCTAATATATATAACACTCTTTCTTGCATTGTAATTTATTCAAATGACTCATTTGTTATAAATATATTAAACGATTTATTGATAGATTAAACATAATAAAGGGGAGTAATCAATGTTGAACCCGCATTTGATTGGTTAATCTGGATTTTGAATCTCGAAACTCGAATTTCGAATCTCGAATTTCGAACCTCGAATCTCGAATGAGCCTTTTGATTGGTTAATCTGGATCTTGAATCTCGAAACTCGAATTTCGAATCTCGAATTTTGAATCTCGTATTTCGAAACTTGAATCTCGAATGAGCCTTCTGGGCTTTCGTACATTCGAGATTCGAGTTTCCAAATACGAGATTCGAAATTCGAGATTCAAAATTCGAAATTCGAGATTCAAAATTCGAGTTTCGAGATTCAAGATCCAAACGAACCAATCAAAAGCGGGTTCAAGATTTGATTACTTCCCTTTATTATGTTTTTACTATCAAGAAATAGTTCAATATAATTATATCAAATGGTTCATTTGATTAAATTACAATGCAAGAAAAAGTGTTATATATATTAGAAGGAAATTTAAATAATTAATGGAATTTTGATCAGCAAAAAATATTTTAATTTATATTATAGATTCTTAAATATTAAATAGATTTCATATATCAGGAGTATATACATTTTTGAATTGTCTAAGCGTCATTTTTATGAATTTCTTCTGTTAGGAAAACTACAGGTACTTGTGGGCGGGACACCCCCCCCCCCCCCCCGCACACTCTCTTTATATTCAACCCAAGGGCTTATTGGAAATTTTTTTCACAAGATATATTTATTTAACTTATTCATCATGTATACAATAACAAAAAAATGTAAAATCCCCAGAATATTCGCTCAACATCCCCCCAAATACCCACAATACATTATAAGAGAAAGATATGCCACTCTAGTCTGTTTACGTTGTACCCCCTCTGGTATTAAATGCATTTATTTTGTTTTAACTTTAAAAAGTTTAAATGCATTTTCCACCGAAAAAAACAGTATTAAATGTCGAATGTGAGGAATATTTGATATTTTATTGAAAACAACATCAATGTAGTCCAAATGGAATAATGTAATCGAAGATTTGTTTGAAAATTGCCTATTTTGTAAAATATCCTTTTCTTTCATTTAAAAAGATCACACTGTAAGATTCAGAAATTTTTCAAAGGGGGGGGGGGGGTGAAGTATTTTTCAAAAGCGGGGGTTGAAGGCGAAAACAGTTAAAACGTACGTTGTACACATATATATAGTTAAATAACTCAATAGAATATCGATACAGGGTGGAGTATGGTTTTTGAAAGTGGGACGTTGATCAATCTGGGAAAAAGTACTTGTATACATTACCAGAAAGTTTTTGAAAAAGAAAGGGAAATAAATCTCCGAACCTGAAAATCCTATTTTATAAAGGGAGGGTTTTTATTTTGTTTTTACAACCGAATTTCTTTATATAATACAACATTAGCCTTTCACCTTACATTTCCTATAGTAAAAACACAACGAAAAAATTGGAACTTTCTTATTTCTCTTTCTCTTAAATTGCAAATCCAAAGGGGGGGGGGGTTGCAACCCCCGTAACCCCCCCCCCCCTCTGGATCCGCCACTGCACTGTCTCTAAATATACAATGTATTTCTGTCTTAGTCCATGCTATCAGACTGACTCTGCATCACGTAATAATCCCACATTTTCTCCGTAAACAGCATTCTTTCTTGTAAAGTGGGGTAATAAATTGTGTTTTTTTTGTTTTGTTTTGTTTTTTTTTTTTTTTTTGGTTGAGCGATTAGTCTGGGGGTTTTACGCCAGCAATTTTTTCGTATTGTAAGGTTACACATAACAGAGAAATAAGCCCTGGGGTTCAATATCAAGGGGATGGGGGGGTGGGGGGGTCTTGTCCACACGTACCTGTGTTTTTCTAAAAATTAAGACAAGAAACATAAATTATATTGACGCAAGCGTCAAAAATCGGCCGCAAACCAATTAATTGTTCCTATTATGGTCCCTCTAGATCCACCACTACATTTCTTCTCTTTGAGTTGTAGCGGGAAAATTCTTGGCACATTGTAAAACGTGCATTATCCTCGTCTGCTAAGGGCCAAATCTTGTAATATTCTGTAGCCTGCTAAGTCTTTTAATGAATTAACATTTAAACATATGTTTCAAAATGTTTGTATATGTACATATGTACACGTCATTTTAAAATAAATACGTACAACAAATCCCGTTTGAATGGAGAAAGTAAAATTGCGTAATATACATAACGAGGTCTTTGCTTTAGACTAAGCCCAACACATGTCCTAATTTTCTCCGCACCTCAAACAAATAGGATTGGATGAAATATTTACCTCATTCTTCATAAGAATTTTTAATTTTATGTTTATGATGCGTTCTTCTTTAACCTTTAGACGCTCTTTTTGATATACTACTATATTAATGTTAAATATTTTTTATTTAAATTGTTTTCACACCGCAAAAACGCACAGCGACTTAGAACTTTCATATCATAGAGCCGACCGCCTCCTGGCCGGTAATTAGTTGACGATACAAAAATATAATACTTCTGATATATGTAATCTATTTAATATTTAAGAATCTATAATATAGATTGATATATTTTTTGCTGATCAAAAATCCATTAATTATTTAAATGACCCATTTGATATAATTATATTGAATTATTTCTTGATAGTAAGAACATAATAAAGGGGAGTAATCAAATGTTGAACTCGCTTTTGATTGGTTCGTTTGGATATTGAATCTCGAAACTCGAATTTTGAATCTCGAATTTCGAATTTTGAATCTCGAATTTCGAATCTCGTATTTGGAAACTCGAATCTCGAATGAGCCTTCTGGGCTTTCGTAGGATGACTTAAAACTATACATGCAATTTTACTATGGTAAACTTTTCCGGATTACTGAGTTTGTAAAGTGTTGCCTTCTCAATAATCCCAAAGATATAACCCTTAGAATGTTATTATAACCGCGCATTATTATATTTCTCAGTTGGTAAACGCACTTCTTGCTAGGCAAAATTGTGTCCAATTATATTAGGAAATAGATCATACACAAAATTCCTTCAAGGATTAAAAACTAAGTAGAAGAAATCTCTAGAAGAAAAGACATTGTGCATCCCAACCCCGTAAATCTTCACTTTAACAATAAGAAAATAAACCACACAATACTCTGTTTAAACTTTTGATATATCATAAAACCAATAGTTTTTATGGAAATCCAAACTTCTCTCAGATTGATAATTTTAATTAAAGGAAAAGAAAGTTGAACTTATAAATCATATTTCTGAAGTTCTTTACACGGCTTTTCTCCACGATTTCCTTTCTATAAACGATTTCAATCAAACGACATGTAAGACTAATAATTTAACAATTGGGAACTGGTGCTATTGCAATAATGATGAATAAAACGGAAATCATGGGGAAAACATCAACAACAGATGTATTTACAAGACTAAATTTTAAAACTTTCATCAAAGTTGCTGTCTTTCTAATAAAGCGAGATAAATGAATATAATTTTTTATCACTATTAATCATTGAAATAAATTACAAAAAAGGCAATGATTGACCTTTTAATTCATTTATAATGTCGTACATCATTCAGTAAAATTCTATGTTTCTTTGCACCTTTTCATAACATAAATATCTCACGAAAGAAAACTTTAAAAACCAGTGATGTTCAATCTCAAAAGCATGTAAAA